GCATTCCTGGTGCCTGCCCATCAAGGGCCAGCAAATGCATCAGACTAAAGCCCACCAGTGTCCAAACCCCTCCCCAAGGGTCTCTCCCGCCTCCTCTCCATCTCCCCGTCAGGGCAGGCCCTGTGCAGTCTGGCTGGGCCATGCCTTCCGTCTCAGACAAGAGGCTCCTCCAGATGGGCACCTGTGGGCTCAGGTCCTGGACTGGGGGCACCCGGCGACCATGCTGACCCCATGTCCTGTGCCTTCCCCACACAGGCTGCAGCAAGATGTGGGACAACCTCACCTGCTGGCCGGCCACCCCTCGGGGTCAAGTGGTTGTCGTGGCCTGTCCCCCCATCTTCAAGCTCTTTGCCCCCATTCAAGGTAAGAGCCCTGCGTTGACGGGAGGAGGGCTGTGCTGGAGTGGGAGTCACCTCTCGAGAAGGTGGGAAGGCGGAGGCAAGAGATCAAAGGACTGAGCAGTCCAGGAGGGCTGTCTGGCAGAGGAGGCAATGGCTCTGGGTCTCTGAAGGACTCATAGGATTTGATTAGCTCTTCACATAAAGATAAGCAGCGGGAAGGGCTCACTAAATATTTGCTCAACAATCGATCATTGATTGACTGACAGCACTTGATTGAATTACGGCGTTCACATTTCTGTGTCTTGGCTGGTCATGATGGAGACTGTCGCCGCCTTTTGACCTTTCGAGCTCCGTGAAATGGCCGCACAGCTTTGCTTACACGGCTTGTAGCATTTGTTCCAAAAAGGGGTGTTCACCTATGGAGTAGAAAAGGGGGTGCCGCTTTAGGAAGCAGGCGTTCTTCCTCGACCGTTGCTAAGTTATTGAAGAGGCTGGCCGCGTGTATTCAGGGAGTGAAGTGCCTGTCTTCTATCCCACGCTGGGCTGGACACACGGGGAGAAGCAAGGGGAGGCGGCCACCCGCCTGCCCTCGGCCCACATCTAGTTGCAGAGACTCTTGGCAAGTGAGACAAACCAGCGTATCATAAACCACCAAACGTCCCAGGAAAGAGAATGGAGCTAAGGCAGGTGTGCGCGAACAGCCTCTCTGAGGAGGTGACTAGAAGATAAGAAGGATTGGGGCCAGCTAGTGGCACGGTGAGTAGGGCAGCTGGATCCCACACGGTTGACCACATGGTTCAAGTCCTGGACCTGGTAGTTTGAGAAACAGCCCTAGTGTGTGCGTGTGTGCCTGCCCAAAACCCTAAGAGGAGAGTGGAGAAGGGATTGTGGTGTGGCCACCTCCCTGGGGGGAGCTTGCTTGCTTGCTTTCTCTCTTTCTCACACATGCACTCTACAGCAAAACAAAACACAACAAAAACAGAAAACAAGGTAAGGAAGGAGCTACCTGGCAAAGGCTCTGTGTCCGGGAATGAGAGAAGTGAAATCCCGTAGATTAAGCCATCAGGGAACCCAGTGAAGCCTGGCCTGGTTGGAGCAGAGAGAGCCCCGGGAGGGAGGAAAGGAGAGGTGGTGGAGGCCTGAGGACTAGGTGAAAACGAGGGTTTTCTTTCCTAACTCCGGTGAGAAGCCATGGGGAAGTTTTAAGCAGGAAACTGATCCAGTCTAATTTGGGTTTTTAAGAGATAATGCTGGTTTCTGCAAGAAGGAGGATTCTGGAAGTTCAAATGGAAACAATCCTGGCGGGTAAGGGGAGCACAGGGGAAGAGGTGACTGGGGTTCAGGCAGCGAGCAGCGGAGGGGAGAGCTGGGCGTGGTGTACGGGAAGGGTATAGAGTAAGGTAGGGGAGGATGGAATCAAGCACACCCCTTCCTTGGTCTAGGTTTAATGAGCTGAGAGGAAAGGGCTGGTCTGAGAAAAGGAGGATCAAAGGAGAAGCAGGAGGAGTGGTCCGTAGCCTAGAGTCAAGGGAATCACACATGGCCGACCTCGGTTCAAATCCCAGCCCCAGCCGGTTGAAAAACATCCAGGTGGGGGACCAGCAGTTGGTGTAATGGCTATGTCGCTGGACTCCCATGTAGTCGACCGCCCGGTGGCTTCAACTCACGCTGGGCGCGTGTGCATATGTGTCCAAGATCCCAAGAGAAGAATGGAGGAGAAGAGACCATCCCCCCTGGGGGGTGATTTCTCGCTTTCTGTCTCTCTGTCTCTCTCTGTCTTTCTGGCGAGTGCACGTGCCCTATAGCAAAAACCTCTCCAGAATAAATAAAGAAATGACATCCAGGTGTGTGCGTGCCCCAGATCCTGACAGGGTGGAGAAACAGACGAGAAGGGATGGCAGTGTGACCACACCACATTACAGGGGCCTTTTCTCTCTCTCTCTCTGTTTCTCTCTCTGCTGAGCACACACACCCTCTGACAATCGATTTATCTATCAGTTAAAAGGAAGAGCAGGGCTGGGTGGGAAGGACTCAGGGTAAGCAGAGGACCCTTGGGCATCACTCACTCCAGGTAGCCTTTCTTTCTCTGGATCCGGGTTTCCTGTTTGTAAAGTAGGGGGACCAGCAGTTAGCGTAGTGGCTATGTCGCTGGACTCCCATGTAGTCGACCGCGGTTCGAGTCCCAGACCCAGTGGCTTAAACTCACGCTGAACACGTGTGCTTGCATGCCCAAGATCCTGAGAGGAGAATGGAGGAGAAGGGATTGCGGCATGGCCATCCCCCCTGGGGGGTGATTTCTCGCTTTCTGTCTCTCTGTCTCTCTCTGTCTGGTGAGCAAATGCGCCCTATGGCAAAAAATAAATAAATAAATAAACTCTCAAAGAAAAAAAAAGAAAAGTAAAGTGGGGATGGGGGACTAACAGGTGGTGCGGTGGTTAAGGGTGCTGGACTCCCACATGGCCAACCACAGTTTGAGTCCTGGACCTGGTGGCTTGCCTTCTCTCTACCCCCTGCCTCTTTCTCTCTCACTCTGTCCCTCTCTGGTCAAGTTAAATAAATAATTGAATAAATAAAGTTAAATAAAATAATAAAATTTTTTAAAAAGTGGAGACAGGAGGTGGATCACATGATCTCTTTGAAGTGGGTGATTTTGCTCAAATGCTTCGTATGGTAAAGGAGAGACCCCAGAGCCCTCATGCGGAGACTGGGGGCAGTCAGGCATGCCATAGGAGACCAGCCTGGGCAGGCAGGAGGCGAACTCCTCCAGCAAGTTTCAAAGTACAACCCCTCAGCAGGGCCCGGCAACCATCCTTCCTCAGCCCCCAAAGTGCCTGCTGATGGCACCCCTCCCAACGCTCCCCTGCCCTTGCTGGAATGTGTCCGAGAGGCTGGACTCCAGCCCACCATCTGGCTGACCCCAAGGCTGCGTCCTCATCGGGGCCCACAGGAGCTTTGTGCAGATGAGGAAAAGGCAGCCCTTCCTCCGAAGGCGTCGGCCTCTTGCCGAGCTACCCAGTGGCACGCGGAGTGAAGCGAAGTGGATTTTAGCCCCCGTCGTTGTCCACGAACCCGTACACGGTGCCAAGTCTGTAAGAATGATCCTCAAGAAAAGGAAACTGGTTAGGGGCTGAAAACACAGAGCACCGAGGACGTTTTCCAGGCAACTAGATGACAGTGCGAGCAGCTGACCTCAATCTCTAGAGGAAGTGGACCAGCAGAGGGCATGGAGGTGAAGGTGCTGGATCCCATATGGCCGACTGCAGTTCAAGTCCCAGACCTGGCAACTTGAAAATTACGCTGTGTGTGTGTGTGTGTGTGTGTGTGTGTGTGTGTGTGCCCAAAATCCAGAGAGGAGAATGGAGGAAGAGAAGGGATTACAGAGTGACCATCCCCTCGAGGGGTGATTTTTCATTTACCCTCTCTGTCTCTCTCTGGAGAGCACACACACCTTACAGCAAAAACTTTTTTTTTTTTTGAAAATGTTTTTGCTATAGGGCGCATGCACTCGCCAGAAAGACAGAGAGAGACAGAGAGACAGAAAGCGAGAAATCACCCCCCAGGGGGGATGGTCACACGGCAATCCCTTCTCCTCCATTCTCCTCTCGGGCTCTTGGGCACGCACACACATGCGCCCGGCGTGAGTTTAAGCCACTGGGTCCAGGACTCGAACTGCAGTCGACTACATGGGAGTCCAGCGACATAGCCATGATACCGGTCCTGCAAAAAATCTTTTAAAAAAGAAAGAAAGAAAAAGAAAAGAAAAAGAGGAAAAAGAAAGAAGAGAACAAATTCTAGAAGCACCGGAAAAGGAGTGTGATGGAGAGTCAGAAAGACGTCATCTTCCCAGGCTGGATAAAATACCCAGAGGAGGGGGTTGGTGGGCAAGGGACTGCTCATCAAGGTCCAAAATATCTGTGGGAGCCTATTTATTAATAAACTGTGATCTGACCATCCTTCATCTGTGGTGTTTTTACCTTCAAATGTTTAAAGAGACTTTTTAAAATGATTGCTAGAGAGCACGTGTGCTCTCCAGAGAGACAAAGAGAGAGAGGGAGAGAGCGCCCCTCCACAATGGAGCGTGGTCACACCACAATCCCTCTCCTCCATCTGTCCCTCCCCTTAGTACTTAGGGCACACACACGCACACATACACACACACACACACACACACACACACACACACACAGCATGCCACCAGGGCTGGGATTAATCAGGTGGGATCCAGCTCCCTTAAGCACCAGGCCACAGAGTCAGCCCAAGACATTTTTTTTTTTTTTTGGAGAAGTTTTTGCCATAGGGCACGTGCACTCCCAGACAGACAGAGAGACAGAGAGACAGAAAGCGAGAAATCACCCCCCAGGGG